TTGAAAAGGTATGGAGACAGGATGCATCCCTGGCGCACACCCTTCCCAATTTTGAACCATGCAGTGTTACCCTGCTCTGTTCTGACTACTGCCTCTTGGTCCATAGTCTTTGCAATTATTTGCTATGCATCAGAAAGCTGGGCAATGACTAGGGATGATAGAATGAGAATTGATGCCTTTGAGCTGTGAGAAGAGTATTGAATATACCATGGACTGCTAAGAGAACAAACAGGTTCATCCTGGAGAGGGTAAAATTAGGCTGTTCCTTGAAGGCAAGGATTCTAAAGCTTCATGCGACATACTTTGAACAAGTTACAAGGGGGGACCAGTCCTTGGAGAAGGACATCGTGTTTGGGAGGATGGAGGGACAGCATAAGAAAGGAAGAACCGTGATGAGATGGATTGAATCAATAACTGGGCTAATGAAGTTCAGTGTGTCAGAGACAATAAGATTGGCATAGGATAGAGCACGGTTTAGTGCTGTTTTTTCTTTGCTTGTTCAGTTTTTTGTTTTGTTTCAATGCAGTGTACTTTATCCTCTCTCTTCTTAGTTTCTCCCCAGTCCCCATGTCAGTCCTATTTTTTTAACAGTAGCATTATGCAGTATTTGTCCTTTCATGACTGAGATATTGCACTCAGCATAATGTCCTCCAGGGTCACCTGTTTTGTGTAATATTGTATGAGTTCCTTGTTTTTCAATGCAAAGTTTTAGTGCTGTTGTATATAGGGTTGCTATGAGTCACAATTGACTTGACGGCACATAACAACAACAACAGTAATTATATTATTTACCACTCTTTGACATTTTTGGTTAAGCTGTCTTACTTCCATATTTCTTCCATTCACTTTAACTTCTCTATGCTCTAGAGCAAGTTTCAGTCTTTTCTGATACTTAGTTTTTTCTTTCTTTCCTGAATTTTTAATGGCCTCTTGCTTTCTTCATGTATGAGGTCCTTGATGTCATCTCCTAGCTCATCTTATTTTTTATCATTAGTATTTAATGAATCAAATTAATTCTTGAGACAGTCCTTAAACTCAGGAGGGATATAATGTCATACCTCAGCTTTCATATACTCATCATTTTCTTACGCTTCAGCTCGAACTTGTTTATGATCATATCTATTCCACAGTCAGTCCCTGGTCTTGTTGATTGACAGTGAGCTTCAGCCCTAACTTTTGCCGCAGATGTAGTGGATTTGATTCCTGTGTATTACTTCTGGCAAAATCCACATGTTGCAGTCACAGTTTGGTTTTTTTAAAAAAAATAAATTTATATAGATATAGAGATGTTGTTGTTGTTGTTATGTGCCGTCGAGTCGTTTGCGACTCATAGCGACCCTATGCACAACAGCCCTAAACCCTGCTCTATCCTGCGCC